AAGATAGAATCCAATAAAACTAGCCACAACAAAGGACCACTATTACTGCCTTGAGGGCAACCTTTATTTATTTTTAAGGGCTCAGCTATACTCTTAGGGGAGATTTCTGAGTATGTTTTCCTATTGCTTAAAAAACTCAAATAAAAATTTAAAATATAAGAAGGAATATTCATATTTTTTGCAGCTTGTAATATAAGATCATAAGAGGCATTATCAAATGCCCCTTCTATATCTAATGAAACTATTATAGAGTGTTTTTTCAAGTGCCTATTTTCCTTAACTAAACTAAAAATATCATCAATAATATCTACACTTGATTTTCCCCACCTAAAACCATACTGAAAACTGCTTAGACAAGAAGAGTTTTGAAAGAGATAGTAAGTTCTATTTACAATAATTTTATCCAAAATCTTACCCATTATACTTAACAAGGAAATTGGCCTAACAGAATTGAGCTTTGAAGGATCCTTATTGGGCTTCCTAAGAAAAATAATTTTACTAATTTTCCAATTGTCCGGAAAATAACCAATTTGTAGACAAGAATTATATAAATTTAATAAGATATCTGGGTATAGATTATTTAAGTAATAAAGAGGATTTCGCATAATTCCATCCGGTCCGGGTGCTTTTTTAGTGCCCATAAATTTCAGAGCTGAGTAAATTTCAGTTTTTGTAATAGGTTTAAAAGAAAATTTATCAATGAATTTTATTGTCTGTAAATTCCCAGAATCTAAACCAAATTTTGTATTTATATAATACTCAAAACTTTCTTCAGTTGTCAGAGTAAAAGAACTATCAGTTTTTCGGAAGGAATTAAAAGTAAAGGGTCTACATATTTTTTTATTAATTATTTTAAATGGGGAGGTAAAAGGATTGTTTATAGAAACCTTATTGAAAAGTTCTCTAAAATATGTATTTTTAAATTTTCTAATCTGTTTTTTATATAATGCTAATGTTTTTTGAAAATTTTTAAATCTATATATTCGTAAATCTTGGTTATTTACTGTCCTTTTAAAAAGTCTTTTAAGGGCCATAGTTTTCCTTTTCAAAATATCCAAGCTATAATGCCACCAAGGGTTATATCTTTTTTTAGGTGGATGTGAACCAGCTTTCCTAACAAGAGATGTACATATTTTTTTAAGATTATCTTCAATCAAAGTAACTTGCCGATCTATGGCATTTTTTGTTATAACCAGATTATCTAAACATTTAAAATTTAAAAAATGTTTTCTACATGCATTAATAAATTTTTTATAGTAATTAATATTGACATTGTATCTAATAGATCTGCTAAAAACTAAGTCTTTACAAGGTGAACAGTTAATTTTCAATAAAATAGCTATATGATCACTAAGACTAGAAAAAGGATTTGCCTGCCATTCTAAATTATCTAAAATATTTGCTGAACAAAAAGTGAAATCAATACAAGATTGTGTCCTATTATTATCAAAAGTAAAAGTATTAGGATCAGAAACTAAAAGTAAATCATTTGTAAAAATAAAATCATATAACGAATCCCCCCGACTATCTGTAATATTCCCTCCAAAAAGAGAATTATGTGCATTAAAGTCCCCCATATTATTATATGAATATTTTCTAACATTATCTGTCAAATTTATCAAAAGATTTGTAAAGATACTGTCATCTTGACTTAAATCTAAAGGAGGAACATAGCAATTATATATTTGTATCTTGAAATCATTAGGAAATGAAATTTGTAACCCAATATGAAAGTCTGTGGTCTCGGAACAAAAAACTCTATGTCTGGGATTTATCAAACTAATAATCTTATTGTTTTTACTTACTATTCTATGCCAAGATAATAATTTACTGTTACATTTGTCTGGAGGAATCTCCTGAAGTAAGATACAATCAGCATCTATTTGCGTCGCATGATGGATTAAATGATCGACTGCTATATAACCCCTCCCTACATTCTGAGAAATAATTTTAAAAGTCATTTAACAACTTTTAGAGCAAAAGTTATATTTAATTAGCTTAATTCTAGACCCAAATACCCCTCCCATGAGAAGAACATCAACAAAAAACATGATTATGGCAGTCCATAACTTCCCTGACCAAAAATTCACCAAAAAGAAATTAAAAATTCCAAAATTTTTATGTGTATATATTACTAAATGTGTAAACATAATGTATATAAAAAAGCAAAGCTTAATATTAAACTTTAATATTTTTTTTTTAAAAGAAAAGCAACCAAAGCTTTTTGGGAGAAACTGAGCACTTTAGCCATTTTCAAAATTTTGTTGTAAAAAAGTAAAAAAGTAAGTAAATAGGGACAAAAATAAAGAAAAAGTATTTCTAAATGTGTAACTATCATGTATATAAAAAAGCAAAGCTTAACTATAAGTTTTAAAAGGTAATGCAGAGGGCAAAAAGTAGCACAATTTGGAAAATTTTCATGCTTTTTTGAGCAAAATATTATAAAAAGCTCAAAGATTCTAAAATCAAAGCATCTACATATTAGAAATAAGTAATTAAAACAGGATATCAGAAAAGATAGCCAGCAAAAACAATATTTAAAAATTTTCCTACATAAAAGGTAATCTAGACGGCATAAAATAGCCCAAATTGGAAGATTTTCATGCTTTTTTGAGTAAAAAATTATAAAAAACCCAAATAGGCCAGGATCAAAGCACATACATATTTGAGATATGTTATAAAAACAGGATTTCAGAAAAAATAGCCAGTAAAAGCAATATTTAAAAATTTTTCTATACAAAAGGTAATCTAGACGGCACATAGCTTTCCTGACCAAAAATTCACCAAAAAAGAAATCAAAAATTCCAAAATTTTCCTGTGTATATATTACTAAATGTGTAAACATAATGTATATAAAAAAGCAAAGCCCAATATCAAACTTTAATATTTTTTTTAAAAGAAAAGCAACCAAAGCTTTTTGGGAGAAACGCCTTCAGCTGGCTGGTCGGCGGCAACAGCGGGGAAGCCTGGATCCACCCTCCACCGGACGGCACCCGTCTCCAGCCCCGCCGTCTCCGGTTGCTGAAGCTATGGGAGGAGGCCTCCAACATCCTGGGCCTCAACCACCGGGCGGTCCCCACGGCTCAGCTGCTGGACCTCCCCATCATCGGCGGCTGCCGGTTCCTCCGCCCTCCCGACCTCCTGGCCCCCGCCCGCTGGAGCGGAGCCCGAGTCCGGGACCTCATCGAGGAGGAACACCTCATCGCCCGCCCTACGCGCTCGGCCCTGGGCGCCTTCTGTCGGAGGCTGACCTCCGAGAACGCCGTGGGCTTCGGGGCGGAGTCCACGCCTTCATCCAGTTCCCTTGCTGCGGCCGTGGTGCTGCGTGGGACGGCTACGCCGTTCCTCAACGGCCTCACGACGCGCTCAGCCCGACGGGCCCTGGATCGTCCGCGCCTGGCCGCCACGCCCATCTCCAGATTCCTGGCGAGATGGACGCCCACCATCAATCCACCATCCAGGATCGACTGGGCCTCGCTGCGGCGCTGCACCTACTCGGGCCACGAGGCCGACGCGGCCCTCAAGTTGGCCCTCAACGCCCTGCCCCATCCGGCCCATCCTGCCTCGGTCGGCCCCTCCTGTCCTGCCTGCGGGTCCATCGACCGCTCCCTCGGCCACCGTTACTGGTGCTGCCGTTCCATCAGGCCTCTCATCAGAGAGACCTTCAACATCATAGGGCGGCCCCCTGACCTGCAGGCTTGGATCTTCGGCGGGTCCGGCCTTGAGGACATCGCCCTTTCCATCTTGGCGTCGGCAAAGTTGCGAATTTATCGCTACTTTGTACAGGTTGGGCTCGGAGAAGCGGTGGAGGACCCGCTCATCGCCTGGTCCAGGACCATCCAGCGCCGAGGTCTCCCACCTTTGTCCCTCTTGTAAATTTGTTTTCTTTTATGTATATATTTAATTTTCTATGTATATATTTTCTTCTCTTCCTCTCTCTCTCATGTGAGATGTAATATTGTCTAAGATGACAATAAATATTGTTTAATTGTCAAAAAAAAAATTGTCACACATGCACACACACACATACACACATGCACGCACACACATACACCCACTCACGCACACTTACATACACTCGCGCACACACAATAAATATTAATAGGCAATCTACATTTTTTATGAAAGTTTTTGTGTGTGTGTGTTTCAATAACTCCTCCAAATCGGCGAATAATGTTATATTTACGCAGTCCCTTTTAAATTATTGATAAATGGTAACCAAGAGCTCTAGTTAAACTGCTGTATTAACTTCACTAACCTTTACTTTTGAATCATTGTGATATCAAATCGAGAAAATTACTATGAGTACATGCGAAGGACAACTATGATAATATATCCCCAATTGTGGTAATGATCATAGAAATAATTATTATGATGTGCCAATGAAAGTGATGCCTTTTACCTAGTTATATATTCCGTATTGCGTTAACAAATACCATAGCGATAAAAAATCGAAAACATCCTATGATCTTTCAATTCGGAAAATTGCAATTTATATTTTAATGACCGTAAGGGAATCATGGCTGTAATGAAGATTACGTTGAAAACTACATATACAAAGTTTGGTCAATAAATAATGACATTCGGTAATAATACTGTCCTCAAAGCTTATGTCCATAGTTCATCTGAAATACCCATTCCAAGAGTCTAGCAACAGTATCACTATAAAAGGAAGTTCCAAAAATGCAATATAACAGCGGTATGGCAGATTAAACTGGCGAAACCGCTGGGAGGGTTCACCACTGATGAGCCAGGCCCTCCCATTAAATTTTCCATTGCAGTAAGGGCAGTAGAAATTGTTTATTTTCAAAAAGAATCTTACGCCTTTAAAATGATTTCGAATTTTAATAACTTTTTTATTCAAAAAATAGAAAACACTGTATATAAGAATTCCTAACAACAGTCCTCTATATATTTGAATTATCTACTTATATAATTGCCTTATTCTGTCTGTGTGAAGTTCACGGATAGATTTTGGTCAAAATGGATAAAATAAAAAAAGTGTCAAGGGATGGGAATCGAACCCACGACCTTCCGCTTACCGGGCAGATGCCATGACCATTAGGCCACATGACCACAATTTATAATTGTAACAAATAGTATTTGAATCAAAAGATTCAATCGGGTAAAACACGGGCGTTGCCCGGGTCATTCGGCTAGTCCCATATATCCACCTTCCTTCTGTACACATTTGATTGTTACCAACTTGTGAGAGTACTTGGGTAAGACGCCTTATCCAACTCTCTGAGACATCCTCTAACAGCTTGGAGTAAAATTGCATCACTTTATAATGTTTCGTCACGTATAAAACTCTAATCTTCTAAACAAGTAGAAGTCTGAAGGTGCCAAGTTAGATCTATACACAGGATGAGATATCAAAGTCCATCCATACCCTACAATTATCGTGTCAAATTATATTGACAAATATTTGCAATCTTATCATATCTTATCTCAGGTTTTAGTGGAAAGAATTTTTGTTTTCGTTTGTTTGTGAACAAATCTCTCCCGCCTTCTCATTGGATGAATGTGGCCATGTTTGTATATAAAGGGGGCTATGGTATGGGTCGAGAGGCCAGTGTGGTGGATTATCGTGTGGAGACGCTTAAAGTGTTCTCTGCGTGATTTATCCGTGTCTGGCTATCTCCACGCATACCTGTGTAACCCCGGTCCGATCCCTACCTAAGCAGCAATAAAGCTAAGTACTGTGTTTTTTATTTTATTTAACAAATTGTGATTTATTATTTACTTTTTTTTTTTTTTTGGTGTTGTACTTTTGAGTCCACGATTTTTCTGTGTTTAAGTTGCTCTTACTGTAGGCCCTAGTATATTGTATTTGTGTGTTAACCCGTAAAAAGTAACATTTGTCAATCGTCAAAGTTAGCTGTGCTGTGTGAGGTCTTACATTATCCTGGTGAAATTTGATTTGATGATAATGTTTTAGGATGGGTATTATTTTGTTTTAATTGTTCTTTTTTAGTTTTTCTAATGATTCACGTTAACTTGTCGATGAAAGAATTTCTTTCAAGAATGTCCATGAATATCAGCCCTTCTTTTCCCAAAAGACAGAGATCATTATTTTGTCCTTTGAAAAGGAAATACGTTTTTTTTTTACTAGCGATACTTAATGAATCCATTGTATTGATTATAGCTGTGTGTAAAAAAAGGATCATAATTATAAATCTAAGTCTCATCAAATGTTACCACACCTTTTCAAACACCTGAGAAGGTTCTCCAGAAAAATAATCCAAGAGATCTAAACAAATCTCTTTCCGAATTTCTTGTGTTAGAAGTCTTGGCACTAGAGAGGAGAATAATTATCGATATCCAAGCTCATTACTAAGTTTAATAATAATTCCAAATTTAATAATTCCTTCCATAATATACCATTTTATACAAGACCGCAGTCACCGTTCGGAGGAGATTAATCGCGGAATGTCGTGGTCCATTTGGACGAGGAAAGCGAAGACTAGAAGTCATTGTGTGCAATTAAGGAATGACCAGCCTTTGTATATTTTCATCAAAATGTTTAGGAATAGCTCGGCGATGTTTTTTCCTAGGGATGTTTATAGCACATACATGTTATTTATTATACATGTTATTTATTCAACACAAATCCCGCCCAGAAGTCCTCCTCTACGTAGCGGGCGGGAGAAGCAGCACAAGTAAGGGACTGCCCTGTAGTACGGTGTTGTGAGCCCCGGCCGCTACGGTAACCGTGAACAGGGGACTCTGAAATGTGGCGACTAACAGGGCAATGGTACCCCCTCTTTCCATGGAGTGGACAAGACAGCACCACCATTCAACACAAATAAAATAATTCAACAATATATTGTTGTACATTATAATGCGGCTTATGATTGTAGAACGACATTTGAAATTATCCCGCATATGTTTCTTTTGAATGATATAATCGAAATTTTATTTTAAGGAGAAATAACGATTATTTCTAACCTTAGGGATAAAGTATGAAAGGATGAATTGTGAAGGGTAATGATTAGCTTACACAACGTGTAAAGACACGTTATGCAAATTAAAAACACACATTTAACAATATAACAGGTTTGCGGATTTCGACAAACTCTCTTCCGCAATACCTTTTTACACCTCATCTTCACTAAGTGCCGCCTTTTACACAGTCTATACCTGGAAAACCTCGCCGTCTTTAGTACACGCAATATAAGGCGATTTGAAGATTTTATCGACTCTAATGGAAAGTTGAGTCAAATTAACGACTTTTTCTCGTACACCACCCGCAATATCTGAGCAGACTTTCCAAATTTAGCGGATTTTTTTACAATGAAATCAGAGATTTTAAATCGAAAAATATACACCTATACACCTTCCTATTGCTTCGAAATGGCGAATATTCTCTAAAATTAAAAGCAACGCACTACACGAAATTATCTTAACGACGTATATAAATCCCGATTATTTAAAACCGAAGACATCTAAATAGCTATTCAGCTCGGCGCCCTGCTGGAATAAAAAACGAAACCTATACGACGATATCGCGTGGCGTCTTAAAATTCGAACTTTACCATATCCTACGTGAACAGGAAAGACGACCTGCCCGGCCTGACATCTTACATCGATATTTCGAATGTTCGGCCATAAGAGACAGAATTGAATAAACGAAAGAACACAACATCGACCCGACTTATAGGTTCAGCGCTGACAACTTCATCATGGAACTCAACAAGCCAGAATTACGACGTCCCCTAAATAAAGCAAAGTTCAACATCTATAATTTTTTTTTTCGAAAAAGACTTTGATATACCCCTTCCCCCACTAACCAATTTATTTAATATTATAAAGTCGCAATAACGATGGTTTTTTGTTCAAATCTAAAAGATTGAGGGATGAGTTTATTTTGCAAATAAATTTATTTCGAGGTTTCGGGAAACGCCCTTCTACAGGAAAATTAAAAATAAAGTAAATTAAATTATATTACACTGAGATTAAGCGAGGCAAATGTATAACAAACTATATAAAATAAATATCATAAACAAACACACGTGAGACTACTCGTGCGTCAGATACATATGAATAAATCAATAAACTGAAAATTTGATATTTGTGTATATATATAGCGAATTTGAATGTCTAAAATATGAACTGATATAGAATCAAACTAAGAATATGGCATATTTTGGAAATATAGGACAGAATAACTATTGACTTTGTGGTCTCTGAGTTCATGATACAGTGGGGGGTTGGGTGGCAGCAGGGAATATTACATGGTATGGTTTTTGTCTTTACATACATACATACATACATACATACATACATACATACATACATACACACATACATACATAAATACTTACATACATACTTACTTACTTTGATCAAAGCAACGGACTCATGCAAATGGGAGAAGGAGAGCAACTTACGTTGAAGTTTTGGTTTTGAGAGCCGAGGGGGATATGATAAAATGGATAAGATAGAAACGATAAGATTAACTCTCTCTGGATACGCCTACTGACAATTTTTTGATAAGTCCTATTGTGTTATTATTATCGATTGGTTTGAAGAAAACAATGCCTTTGTTAGTTAGACGAGCTTACCCTATAACAACGTTTGTTGAAAAAGGAGGAGGGTGAGCAGTAACAGGCTCGCTAAAAAACCTGGGCTCAGCTGGCCCGGCTGATAGTACCCTGTAAAGGCTCCTTATTCTGGGATACAGGATGGGCAGCGTTTGTATTCCATGTTAGGAGCGGCTGCACAAGGTGTCTGTTCCTCTCCTTCCTCCTTCTTTTGGAGCTAAGTCGGCCTGCCACTGAGTAGTGCTCCCAGTCTTAATAACAAAGATAGACGCATTCTACTTCACCCAGTCATGATGGTTGTCAAGCTTTACAAGCTTGATACCCTAATATGATTGAGTGGAGATAAGAAGAAGGAAGTGTAATATAAAACCATCCTAAAGCCATTAAAACACAAAGGATTCAAAAAAAAAACATTTAAAGGAAAACTATTAGTTCTTCAAATCGATCGTTAAATATATTCACAATAATTAAAACTTAATCTATATTCTCTAAAAATACAAACAAAAACCCATTTCCAATTTTTTAATCAACTTTCATTGTCTTTATAGAAAAAAATCAAGGAGTAATTTTACTTCAAATGATAATTAGAACGAAATTCCAAAAGAAATCCCCAACGCACATTGAAGACTTAATGGCAAGTTGTGTTCGAAATTGTAAGTCTCCAATTGATTGTTTTGTCACTTTTCTAAGTTTCTCTTCTTCCAATGGCTGCAATTTAAATCTACAAAATGGAGAAAGCTAAACCCCATATTGAACTAAACCCTCAAAGGAATAAATGTTTCCATTATAAAAGCGCCTACTTTTAAGTGCTATTTCTTTCTTTTATATATGTCTTGTTGTTAAAGAAACGTGTTATGGGGCTAAAAGAGGATTATGTTATTTTATTATGTAGTAATTAGATTTTATCGAACATTTTTACACCAAATTATATAAAATTTCTTTTAGTGTATGTAATGGTGTTTTTTTACTATCCCTACTTAGCGAATAAAAATATAAGAAAATACTCTAATGTAAGTATAGTTGCTGTTTTTTCTTCTATCTTCTTTCAGAGTATTAAGTGAACTTTTAATGGAGTTTAAGTTAAAATTGAAAAAAAAAAAGCGAAATAGAAAATAAACAGGAATATTTTAAATATAATCATCGGCTTATTTGAAAGTTCTTTTTTCAGAATACATAAATATGTATTTAAATATCTTAATGTTTTAATGTATGGAAACTTTTTATGACATTTTTCACGGGATACCTTATTACTGAGAATTCTCGTCAAGTCTTGAATAGCTTGTCGTTTGCTAAAAAGGCATATTTTTGTGTCCTTAAGAAGGAAATTCCAACCTTTTAACCTAGTAGCTAAAAGATTATTTTATTTATTTATTTCATCTCAATTTACAGGTGTTACATTCGAGCACAGCTCGCGAGTCACCTTGTCCTGGCTATTTACACATGGCGAGTTGGTGGAGTAGAAGTGGTCCCCCTAGGCCTTGCAGGAGGACAGCTGTTGGGCGATGAGCTCTTGACTAAGTGTCAGGGCCG